GCCTGTCTCCTGTCGCCCCTGGGTAAGGTGACCAGATGTCCCGATTTTATAGGGACAGTCCCGATATTCGGGGCTTTGTCTTATATAGGCGCCTATTACCCCTCACCCCATCCCGATTTTCCACACTTGCCCTCTGGTCACCCTACCCCTGGGACTTGCTCATACTTAGAGCCCTTCAAATACATGGATAGCCACAAATATCTGGATCCACAGATGCAGTTGTATTGTTTAACAGTTTTGTGGATTGGATGTGGATCCAAATTTTTGTATCTGCGCAGGGCTGTCTACTTGTACCTTTCCTGGAAGAAAACAAAGGACCCTAAACGACCAAGTACTAGGTCTGAGTGTTTAGCTCACTAGTTTGTGTCAGTGTGAAAATGGCATGCAGTACCATGCAAGTCCTGCTCTTGCAACTATACATTCATTGCACTCTGCCTGGGATGTATGGGAGGGACATTGTATTTCCATTATAAGGATAATTTGAAGTTCAAGCTATATCAGCGTAATGATGAGAGAGGTAAAGGTCTGAATAGTGAACTAGCCCTGTCTGAGGAGGGTGAAATCTTGCCTAGAGAAAAAGTGAGGGTGGAGTGGCTGTCTGGAAATTGTTTCCTCAGCTGGTTAATGTTGTGAAGCCAATAAAGTGCCTTGGCAGCAGGGAAGATTTGTACTGAGTGTTTCATAGAATCAGAGAAGTGTAGGACTGGAAGGGACCTCGAGAGGTCATCTAGTCCAATCCCTTGCTCTCAGGGCAGGACATTAATGTTTGTCATTAAACCATTTGTTATGGAAATTGTAGCAGAAATAGAGGGGGTTCTGATGGGTCACAAGAATGATTAGGAGCCTCTCATGTTGGGGAGAGACTGAAATGACTGGAATTGTTTTTCTTAGACAGGATATGTGATACATGTACAAAATAATGAGTAGTATAGCGCAAGGGGACATTGGAAAGGCAGCAAATTCAGAATGGATAGAAGGAAATAATACTCTTTCACACAACACCCACTTAGCCTGTTGTATTTACAGATCTAAGACATCATCGAGGCCAGCAGGATTGAAAAAGGGCTTATATCTGTATATGAATAGCAAGACAACCTAGAGTAGTTATAGTAAATATTAAAAATAAGAGGGTTTTTTTTTTGAGGGATAGAAGCCTTCCGGCTAGGGGCATAAGCCACCCCCTAGCTAATTGGGGTTATGAGGAAACTTTTCCTGGGGTGAGGCTATCCTATAACTGGCTAATGCAGGATTTCTTACATCTTTCTCTGAAGTAACTGGTATTGGGGTAGATGTACCCTAGCTTGATTCAGCCTGGCAGTTCCCATGTTCCTATGGATCTTCGCTATATTTCCCAAACTATTTAGAAGAGGAATCGTGGGGGGCTTTCAGTTGCATGAGCTCAGTTTTGTGCATGCTGAGGCTGAGTCTAGGTGATGCAGGAAAAAATGTTCTCTTGACCAGGCTGCATGGAACAGTCGTATACGTAAGAGATTAAAATTAGCTTTGTGATCATTAGAATTCAAATTTTAGACCTCTAATGGCTGAACATAAGACTTGCCAGACTGGAACAGACCAGTGGTCCATCTTCTGGGGAAAGATTGAGTGAAAAAAATTTGATTTGTTTAGTCTGGAGAAGAGAAGTCTGAGGTGGGAAATAAGTCTTCAAGTTTGTAAAAACTTGTTATATAGAGGAGGGTGATTAAATTGCTTTCCTTATCCACTGTAGACAGGACTAGAAGTGGAATCCCCATCATTAGAGGTTTAAAGAACAGGTTAAACAAACACCTATCAGGGATAGATAATATAGTGCAGAGGACTGGACTGGATGACCTATCAAGGTCCCTTCCTGTCCTACATTTCTATGATTCTCTAGCCATGGATAATACTAGAAACTTCCAAGAAAGGCATTAAATTCCTGTAATGCCCTTAATTCTGCAATATCATACCTTCTTCCTAACAAGTGGTGATCCCATTATAAAAGCATCAATGGCATATTGTACTGTTGAGCCTAGATACTGCTAATTTCATTGAACAAAACTAAGCCATATTCTAGTATTCATCTGTTTGAGCAAATTAGGAAAATGTATGTTAAAAATAGTATTATAGTCTCTGCACATGGGTGTGTCTGGTACTCCCCCAGTTTGCACTTTCTATGTTCATGCCTAACATCCAGAAAACTGAGCTCTGGGTGCTAAGGGATTCTGTCTGCACTACAAATACAAATGTGTTGTGGGAGAGACCCTATACCAGTAGGGTTAAAACATGGTTCAGTCTTGCAGTGTAGATGGAACCTAAGCTTGCTCCAGATCATGTGAAAGCCTTGGATGCGTCCAAGGTTTTAGTATAGTTGAAGGACATGTTTGAGGTTCCATCTGGTCTACAGAATGGACGCATGTTGTAGTTGAGATGATTGTATCTGTAGTGAAGGCACAAGCCATGTTGATTTCTCCCCTAGGCGTACAGAGCGCAAACTATGCTGACTGGACCCTTGCTTCTGCTACACATTCACGTTTTGAACCCACACTTACATATAGCATAACTCTTGCACCATTTGGATGGGATTTTTTTTTTCTTCCCAGGCAACAACGTACCAAAACTGTGCCCTCTGGCAGGGCTCAAGCCACTGCTTGTAACTGGCATTGTGGAGGCAAAGCATGCTACCATAACAGGGTTTAGAAAATTCTTTCCCACAAGGTTTCAAGTCCCGTTGTGGGCAGAGTCTTGTGTGGCTGCCTGTTGCTAACAGTGGTGCTGGGTTGCAAGAACTGCCATGTGAGCCCTGTGGCGTTTTACACCTGCAGATATGCTTATCCCTTGAGTGTTTAATATTGAAAGTCGTGTTTGCAAGTGAAGTATTTTATCTGTTCAGGGAAGGTTTATGCAAATTGTAAGTGTAAATATAGCTTGACTCTTTCTCGATCTGTAGGTTGGCCCAGCACAAATAGTTTGTCTTTACCACATAGTGGCTATAAAAAAAACCCCACAAAAATCTGAATGCAAAAATGCTCTAGATTCTAAGAATTTTACACTAGGTTGATTGTTGGGTTTCAGCCACTTGGCCAAGAGCCCTTTGTCAGATGACCAATGTGTGTATATTTCACTAGTTTTAAAATAAGGTCTAGTGAGGGGGTCCTGCGCTTCCATGAAGAAGCAGTGGGCTAGCTATATGATGGGCGTCTGTCCTGGGGGGACATGGTGAGGACAGGAGCTGCTCCTCTGACTAATTAAGGAACTGGACAAGAGAGGAAAAGGAAAAAGTGACTATGTGGCCATTTTTGGCAGAAAGTGTGGCCAGCTGTATGAGTCAGTGGCTAGTGAGGTACAGAGTTACCTGGTCTGGTCTCCATAGACGACAGAGTTCAACTAAAGATTTCTTAGAGAGTGGCAGTGAGAACCAGTTCTACAGATGCCACCAAATGCACCCTCAGACCAAAGGCCCAGAACCCGTTCCCCGTGGGCAAAATGTCCATTGACTCCAGTGAGAATAGGATCCTATTCTGATTGGATGCTTGGCAATACATTATAGTCCAAATGGTATTTGTTATCCTACAATTAACTCTACTCCCACTCATGCTGCATCCCTGTCCTTAAATCTTGCCTACTGTTATTTTATTCGCCACACTGGATCAAAGCTGTTTATATTTGGCTTATTATGCTCACTCTGTTAGAGTTGTTTTCAGACTTTCATTATAACATTCTGAACTGAAGTTCATTGGCTGTGTTTTGAATGAAGTAATTGCATTTGATTTACTCCTCAATGTAACATTAATAGTAGGACTAAACCTGAAAGTCCTACGCAAACACTGAGTGAAGTGGCAGAAAGGTACTTTCCTTTAGCACTTTTTGGTTTTCTCAATGGCCCCGCAGTTTGTCACTCAGCTTTAGTTATGGTATTTGCTCCGGGCTATATTGCTGTGTGGTTTCTGGTACAAAACCCAAACCACTCGTTAACGAGTATTGTGAAGCACTGAGTAGTGGATAATTAAAAAAACAAACCATGAAAACCACAAGCAGTAACACTTGTGGGTTCCCTTCTTCTTGGATTCTTTGGGGAGGAATGTTGAAGTATTTATATTGGGTACCCTTCTTCTAGGACCTCAGGCCTGTCAGTTTCCCCTCCTCTTTTTCCCCAGCAAAGATCATGACAGGTTAGTATAAAGCTAAGAGACCATTGAGAATATCCAGCTAATGCCGAGGACTAAACTAAAGGATCATTGCAAATAAATTATTTGCTGCATCATCATTAGGAGCTTCCTTTTGAGTGAGTTGTAAGGAGCTCCATTTAGTTTAGTGGACTGAGGAACTGGAATCTGATCATTCAAATTGGTTATCCCAAGGTCTGAAAGCTCTTACTGTATGAGGCTTATCATTCATTATCCATTACCACCTGGGATTTGATATTGCAAAGTCATAAAAGCACTTCTTGTGAGCCCCAACGTGCTGTACATAGAACATGTTCTAGAAAAATAAAATTGAGATTAAGAACTAGAAAAATCTGCTTTAAACCTACATTTAAATAGGACCAATAAGTTGTCAAGGTGGATCTACAGAGGTAGAAGATGCCACCTCCATGTAGCAGCATGGGTGAAAGTCTGGTATTTGGAACTGGCAAGTGGAGGTAATCCGACATCCAATTCAGCTTCTGAGCAGGTGTCGCTACAGAAACTAAGAGCTTGTCTTCACTGAGGAGCAGTGTGCACTACAGGCATGTGATTTCTAAAGCAAACAAACGTGTTGTGCACTAACTAGTATGTGCAGACCCTGCAATGTGCACTAGAACTTCCCTACTGTGCTTTAACATAGTACGGTTTGAAGAGTCTACACATTCCAGTTAATGTGCTTTAGAAATCGCATGCCTGTAGTGTACATTACCCCACCATGTAGACAAGCCTGAAGTTGCAAAGCTGGGGGGATGATGCTGTGCAGCGAAGGGACTTTGGGGCCTTATATCAGCAGGCTCTCAACAAGTGCTCAGGTGTTTTTCATTTTTGTCTTTGCAGTTTGTCCATCTGCTTGTAAGTCACAAGGCTGCACCTCTGATGGTCACTGCTGTCACAGCGAATGCTTAGGCAACTGCTCGGAGCGCAACAATCCTGAGAAGTGTGTGGCTTGCCGTAACTTTTACCTTGATGGCAAGTGTGTGGAGACCTGTCCAGCCAAGTACTACCGCTTCGAGGGGTGGCGTTGCGTGACCTTCAGCTTCTGCCAGGAGCTGCACAACAAGTGCAAAAATGCCAGGGAATCGGGGTGCCATGTTATTCACAACAATGAGTGTGTTCATGAGTGCCCATCGGGATACATCATGAACTCCAGCAAGTAAGTGATGTCCATGTTGTTGCCCAGTGTTGTTGCTTGAGTTGTCAGTTGTGTATCACACTTATTTAGACACACACACTTGCTGTAGCATAGGGTTTGTATTCTATTCCTTGATTGAGAAACAACTCCAGTGTTGCATCTTATTGATTCATAGACTTTAAGGCCAGAAGGGACCATCATGACCAGCTAGTCTGACCTCCTGCAATACATCGCAGGTCACAGAACCTCACCCACCCACTCCTGAAATAGGCCCATAACCTCCGGCTGAGTTACTGACGTCCTCAAATCTTGATTTAAAGACTTCAAATTACAGAGAATCCACCATTTACTGTACTTCAGACCAGCAACTGGCCTGTGCCCCATGCTGCAGAGGAAGGCAAAAAATCCCAGGGTCTCTGCCAATTTGATCTGGGGCGAAATTCTTTCCCAACCCCAAATATGGCAGTCAGTTAGACCCCGAGACCAACCCGCCAGACACCTGGGAAAGAATTCTCTGTAGTAACTTAAAGCCCCCCATTTAATGGCCCATCTCCAGCTGTTGGAGATATAGTTTAATAGCCGTTGTGGATGGGCCATATGGCATTGTAGGCAATCTCATCATACTATGATAAAGGGACAATGTAACAAACAAGTATTGCATGTGCAGAAGAGAGGATACCGTCTTTCTGACTATTCTTAGGGCTTTAAGGACAAAAGAATAAAATAATGTACATAGTTATATGCTGTTGATCGCAGAAAACCTTGTTTCTCCCACAATAAAATTACATATTGTGATGAGTCAGATTTCCTGTGAATATCTGTAGTTTTGTGTTCATGTACATTTGCTCCTTGATTAACAAATCAGGGAATTCATGCTGTGGCTGGATTTTTGAGTCTATTTCCTGTTTTGTATTTCAAACATGTGAACCAACAGCCCCAAAAGTGGGCTCTCCATTGCTTGTGTAACAGCAAGGTCCTCCTCTTGCCCGCCCCTGCTCAACTAGTCCTTCTACCACTGGGACTTGCTCACAATGTCCTGGTGCTTTTCCTAGAGGAGATGACAGTTTTCCTCTGAATTATACTGGAAGTCGGTGCTGGTGTCATAACTGCAAGAACATCTTGTCTTTTTACTGCCATTAAAAAAACAGTCTCCTATGTCCAAAACACATCAATATAAATCTGTTTACCTTTTTAAAATATAGTTCTGTGAACTGCCTTCCAGCTGTCGATAGAGAAATCCTAGGAAAGGTCCTGCGTCCTGTTCATGAATTATCTGTTTGGTTAACTACTTTAAGATGAAGGATGGGCCTGGCTTTCTTGCTGTTGGGTACAATTAATCTCTTACAAATAGCATTAATTAACCCTAAGAGCAGGAGCTACAGTCTTGTCCTCACAAAGAATCATTTTTCCCTTCATGTGAATGACTTTGAAAAGCCACGGGCTTAAAAAGTTCAGGATCTGGCATATTAGCAAGAGGGAACAGAGAGCTGTTGGTTCTGGAAGATCTTTACAATATTTTTTCTCCAATAAATACCATTTGAGTTGGAGCTCAGCATGCAGACATGCCTAGGTGAGAAGAAAAGTAGCTGTCTTCTTTCCTTTGTCACCATAGGAATTTCATCTTAGTAGAGGAACAGTTCAGTGCTATGAGTTCTCTCATTTGGATTTCTCTGGGAGGTTGGCTGGTTAATTGTGGGCTTAAATTGCATAGGACAAGAAGCAATGGTCTTAAATTGCAGAAGGGTCGTTTAGGTTGGACATTAGGAAAAACTTCCTAACTGTCCGGGTGGTTAAGCACTGGAATAAATTGATGAAGGTAATGGAATCTCCATCATTGGAGATTTTTAAGAGCAGGTTAGACAAACACTTGATGCGTCTGATGAAGTGGGCATTCACCCACGAAAGCTTATGCTCGAGTACATCTGTTAGTCTATAAGGTGCCACAGGTCTCTTTGTTGCTTTTTACAGATCCAGACTAACACAGCTAGCCCTCTGATAAGGGATGCTCTAGATAATACTTAATCCTGAGATGAGTGTTGGGGACTGGATTAGATGACCTCTCAAGGTCGCTTCCAGTCCTATGATTCATTGTTGAATTAAAATCAAAGCTGCTTAGATCAGTGGTTCTCAAAGCCGGTCCGCCGCTTGTTCAGGGAAAGCCCCTGACGGGACGGGACAGTTTGTTTACCTGCCGCATCTGCAGGTTTGGCCGATCGCGGCTCCCACTGGCCTTGGTTCGCCGCTCCAGGCCAATGGGGGCTGCGGGAAGCGGCGCAGGCCGAGGGATGTGCTGGCCGCCCTTCCCGCAGCC